TCGTTTTCTAAATTCATATAGAAATGTGTTTGCAAATCACGTGATGCACCGGATGCTCGGGGAATCAACGCAAGCGCTCGGTGACTACTGAATATCAGTGGGCAGGAGCTCAGTTCTTTGATTTCTTATCCTAAACCTTCATTTTTCCAGGATGTGGTGTCTTTGCTTACACGGTCAATTGCTCCTTCGATCCACGGCCACGAGCAAATCAAACGTGCTATCCTGTTGCTTCTGCTCGGTGGTGTTGAGCGAACCCTTTCAAACGGTTCCCGAATCCGAGGAGACGTCAATTTACTCTTATTAGGCGACCCTTCTGTTGCTAAGTCTCAGTTTCTCCGATTCGTGCTTCATGTGGCCCATCGTGCTATCGCCACCACTGGTCGTGGTTCGTCTGGTGTCGGTCTTACCGCTGCAGTGACCACGGATATGGAAACAGGTAATAGTTGATTGTATTTTCGAGCGCTTGATTGATTGATTTCATATAACTTGTTCAGGTTTCAATGTTTCGCTTTTTGGCCTTTACTCGCAGGGTAGTCGTACTATTTCTATACAGGATCTTTCATTTTCAGTCCTCATCTCGCACACTTATAATTTGAATTTCACGCTTTGCAGATCAAATATGTTTGATGTGACTGGCTAGTGTATGCACTTTTAACAGAAATGTAGGCCTTAAGCCTACAGAAGTTCTAATTACACTTTCAATTACTATTTTTGTTTTCAAACCGCTTCGAATTCAGGCGAACGCAATCTGGAGGCAGGTGCTATGGTGTTAGCCGATCGGGGTATTGTGTGTATCGATGAGTTCGATAAAATGTCCGATATTGATAGAACAGCAATTCATGAAGTGATGGAACAAGGGCGTGTGACTATTGCCAAAGCGGGTATCCAGGCCAAACTCAATGCAAGATGTTCTGTGTTGGCTGCTGCCAATCCCGTCTACGGCAGATACGATCAATATAAAACACCAATGGAAAATATCGGCCTGCAGGTAAGAATCAGCAACTCTCCGGGCGTAATATACTACTTATATACGATTTACATCGTTTTCCAAAAATCTCTGTTATACGTCATTTTTATTTTATTTTGCGTGTACTAGTTGTTTTGAAAACACCTTGTGCATGCCCCAATGGGTTTCTTGTTCTTTTTTGGGATGCATAGTTTCTGATTAAGTTTTTGTTGCACTAATCGAAATTTTGGTTCTAAGTTAATTAAGTGTCACTCAATTATTGTGCATCAGAAAAGGAGAGATGGTTGGCAGTCCCCTGCACAAGGTCGGACAGGGTCACATGACCCACTCTCCGAAGGCATTCGCGCCCGCTACTTCCGGGCGGCCTTTTTTTCGTTTTCTGCGAAAGTCCAAACTGATGATTATCGATTTTGTTGTCTACTCGCAAGTAGTCGAGCTAACCCCGCCTCTGGTGGGCGAGGCTCATTTATCTAAGGCGTTGCGAGTTTTAAGTAGATGAGGAATAGGAGATAACCAGTCAGGTTTGGCAGATGTCCTCTTCTTCCGTATTCCACCAAATTTAAAAATTTTGCAAACTGGGTTTTCTCTGGTTGCGGTGGTATGCAATTCTCTGATCTTACTACTAATGAGTAGTCTAATAATATTTTCAGATCTATTGTGGTCCACACGTTCATGGAGCAATACACTATTATTGCCGCTTTTGTTACGAAAAACTGTTTGTCCTTTCATTCATAATAAGTGCGTCCCAAACCTTTTCGGTATTTCTTTATTCCAGAAGTTCAACAGTGTTTTCTGGTAATGCTCCTGGTTTATGGTTGTGTTTAATGATTGTCAAGGGATTCCCGACTGATCTCCGGCCTTGTGTACATTTGGCTCAATGTCATTCAGATTGTCACCGTTCAAAATTATGAAAACTCATATAGTATATTCCGCCAGAATATTATAGAATAAGTTAACTTTATCCATTACTCTTCCGTTCTGTGGTGTTGCAGATATTTTTTCCATCCTTTTCACCGTTTTCAAGTACTCCACCCTCTATTCCCCTATACAGACACGGAGCAGAGGTGTGCAGGACTCACTGGTCTAGTTCAGTCGCCTTTTGTTGCAACAAAATTATTTGGGGATTTTCACTTGCCTCTTATTATTTACCATAATGCTTTGATATTTTTGCCACCAGGATTCGTTGCTGTCTCGTTTCGACTTGTTATTTATCGTGTTGGATAAAGCCGATCCGGAGTCCGACCGGGCTATTGCAGAACATGTGCTACGAACTCACCGATTCCGCGGACCCGGTGAACAAGAGGGCGAAGCCTTGCCTCTGCAAAATGCCACGCGATTACTTTCCACTGGCATCGATCCCCTGTCTGGTGCCACTGAAGACAACGTTGATGATAATGAACTCGGACCAGACGGATCTCACCGAAAAGACGAAGATCAGGTTTATGTGCAACAGAGCGATCTTCTTCGCCCCGCAACGCGTATTCGTAGCAAGTAAGTTCACAAGTTACTACAAAATACTGGCTTTCTGACTGCGAACTCGGCAGTGTATACTCGAAGCAATGCAAAGTCTTTGTCAGTCCAGTAAATTTTATCATTTTCTCCGCTGTTCTGTGGCGCCGCCACGATATCCGGGTATCTGTGAACTGTCGAATGTATACTGCAGCAGTTAGGTCCGTGCCGAGACTTGGTCATTACGGGAACAGAATAAAACAGATAATCGGTGGTTAATGGTTGAACAAACTGAGACTGAGTGTCTTCTGCTCCAAAACTCTTTTCCGTTCATTTTCCGGTAATTCAGCCCCTAACTTGTTTTCGTTCCAATTTATCCTGCTTTTCGTCGTAATCTCATTCGATCATTTCCGCAGGTTTTATCAATGAGCCCTAAGCATAGTGTTCGGTCGCGCTCCTCTTCTATGCCTGTTTCCCATATCCTAGTTTATTTTTATCACAAACGTATTTTCAAGCCGCACAGCTGGACTCATTACCTAATCAAGAATTTAGGATAAAGTGGTCAGCGTTAAATAATTCTGTCTCTGTCGTAAACTATGCACCAAATCAACTTTTTTCTCCTATCATCCTTGTCCAATAATTGAATGAAAATTGTCGTCATGAATTTCCATCATTATACAACCGATTCAGTATCACAGAATATTGTGTTTATTTAACACATATGGTGTTTCCGCTCAGGGAAAGTCTTTGGATCATATGCAAGCCACCGCCATCTCGCCGTGAATCATTAATCACTCTTGCAATCTTCATTTTCCCATCAGTGTACCAAAAGACTGATTACTTCAATTGTTTGTATTCTTCTGTGGTGCATTTTGTGGAAGCAAATTGTGATTCTCTTGTCGCAAAATAAACGTCAGAGTAATACAGATCTCAGTAAAATGTTTTGTGGACCTTCCCTCCTACTCTAAAACATATGCACACTGCCAATCGCCGCTATTATCGTGCACTTCAATTGATGTTTGCTTGACCTCCTCGTTCCTCTGTTTACACTAGAGACTGCTCGACCGAGTCACTTCATCCACGAATACGTATGCCTGCAATTTTGTATGTACGTCTGGCGCTTATACGCGTGCGGATGTGCATACCTGCTCATGGGACATCACGGCTCTGTTTCAGCATATTTCTGCTCAGGGTGACTTGGCCTTATTGTAATCACCAGCAAATGTTTCTACCTTTCCGGGTCTTGATAAGGTGTGTATTGTTCTGTGTGCTCTTCAGCCGAGTGTCGCAAGGTTTGTATTGTTTGATCAACACAGAACAGGATTAACGTCTTTTTTAGGGTGGGTGTGAGGTGCAAGGGAGAAAAACAACAACAATACCATTCAAAACGAATGTGAGCAAATTTGGTCGATAAAATCTCTCTTTAGAATTTCCAGATGCAATGGTGCTCTTTATTGGCATATAGTTTTGAATCAGTTAGTGGTCTAACTGTCGACTTATCGGTTTACGTTGACATTAAAACAGCTCTTAACACTAACCCCTTGGATAAGTATTTTTCTCCTCTGTGGAAAAGTTTACCGTTTGTTTTGGAGACTACTGTTTCATATGATTTCTTGATTGGTTTACTTACTTTCACGAATCTGTCATCACTTGGCGATCTAATTGGCGCCTTCTGACTATTGTCCCAGCTCATCTAGCCTCGTAGTTCTCCCAGTTCATTTTTTATTACTGATATTAATGTTGTTGGAGAATTGTTTGATTGCTAGTTGTAAAATTTGTTGACAAAATTTCATTGCATTTGTGCCGATGTCCATTATCTAGTGATCAGCTAACATTGAGGTTCCTGCAAAAATATCTGCATGTCGCCCGCCAACTGAAACCCCAATTAACCAAGGAAGCAGCCTCCATCTTAGCCGAAAAGTACTGTGATTTGCGGGCACAAGAAGCTGCTGAGGGTACTGGACGTCCGGGGCCAGGGGATCAATCACGAATGCGCCGTACTCAACCGATCACCGCACGTACACTGGAAACTTTGATTCGTTTAGCCACGGCGCATGCCAAGGCTCGTATGTCCAAGACCGTGACAAAGAAAGATGCAGAGTCCGCGGTGCAATTAGTTTCCTTCGTACTGTTCAAGGTAACCAACTAAGTTGAATTGTTAATTAAGGTTCTATACCTTTGTCTGATAGCTTTATCTTCACCTTTCTTGTCTGCGCTGGTGATTGTGCATCTAACAGTTGTCAGCTGTGAGTGACCAAGTGTCGTTATTACAAATTCCATTTCATTGGAGAGATACAGAACGCCTTCTTTATTTTAAGTTTTCAAGTAATTGGATTAGGGCTATTACTGATCTTACGACAGTGCCTTTTGTTTGCGAGAGGTTGCATGTCATTCGTTGTTATTTCAATAGTTGGAAACTCTAGGTATGAGATAAAGTCTATCCATCCTTTATAGGAAGTATTGGAGAAGCGTCGCAAACGGGATCGTGCATCAGCCGATGGTGGAGAAAGTGGTTCGGAAGACGAAAGTCCAAATGACAACCTAGATACTCGAAGGCCAGCAAAACGAAAGTACGTCCTATCAATTATTCATTTTCCGTTCTGAGTACTTGTCTGTAACGAGAATGTAACAGTAGCTCTTGGTGCTGTATTTAACCTAACTTTGGCCGGTAGATTAACTGGTTTTGGCTACTCGAACTCAAAATCTTAGTAATGTACCCCATTTAACTGCGCCCAGTTTGTTTTCGAGATACTCCCGTTTTATATTTCTACCAATCTTAACGGACGTGGTACCAAAGTATTTTTGCTATTGCAAACATGTAAACACGCATTTACACCTCGCTTCGCTCAGTGCTGCATCTTGTAGCCTCCCGTCGACGACAGTTAGAATCTTTAGGATCCCATCTGGGAAGCCTCAATGGCACCCAGATCCGCATAGTTTCTCCAATCTCCTCAGTCCCATCGTAGCTTCTCCACCTCGCATTTTCTTTCATCCTGGTCCATTGTCTACAAATAACGCACAGTATGGTAAACGTCACCTAGGCGTTCGTAGAACATGCTCCAGCCACAGACGGTGAAATGCATCAGCATAGTTAGGAGTGTTTTGCTAACTTCAAGATAGCTAGTCATTCTGAACTCTAGAAATGCCCCCAACACGTCAGGAGTTTCAAATATCCTCCGCTGAGGAATTCTTACTGCCTTCACGTGACGGATGTGATTCTGTTAATGTAGGAGGGTTATGGTGGATGCCGGGCGCTTTCCACCGGGTTGACGGATCACTGGTGGTCAGTTTGCGGGAGTTCGCTTAAACCCTGAATCCAAACCGTCCACACTTGGCGTGTGAGGTTCATGGTAGTAACTATCCTCAACGCAATCCCGAACTCCACCGTCATGCTGCTTACAGGTAAGTGCGTAAACCATGGGCAAACTGAACGGCCTGGATAGTTGGCCTGTACTTTTGGGGTTCGGTTCCTCAACCAAAACTCCCGGAAGGGCACTCTAAGAAAACCCTCATTGTTTTGTCCACAAGTTTCAGTTTCTACAACCATGAACTATCGCGCACCAAGTCTGGTTGCTGTCTTTTTTTTAACATGAGGAGAAAGAAGGTAAAGCTGAAAATAGGATCAAAAAAATTTAGGATTTGATTGCACTCGTTTTGCAGAGAGATCGACCAGATGCACGAACGCCACTGTTTACGACATCCAGCCATATCACTCAGTCTCTAACCAGCGGTGCAATGGGGAAAGGCAATAACCTGGTATGTTTTACTGCCTCGTAGATGCTGTTAGTTTCGGAACAATACATCTGTTAACAAGAGCGTATTTCATGATTCTGAGGTGAGTTTCTAATCATTTCTGTTTTAAAGAAGGAACTGCAGAACTCATCGTAAGGTTAATTCTAAAAATCAAAATGTTAGCCGCCGTATCACTTATCCGCCTGGCA